TGACCAGAGCATGGCAGTAGAGGAGCGCATGGTGAGGATGGTGGCTGAGGGATCACCAAGCCTGGGCATGAGGTGGCCTACAAGGACCAGGGCACACATGCCACTTGGGTTGGACCGGAGTGTGGAGTCCAGGACCCAGGACTCCTTCCCGTAACCCAGGCAGCCTCACCCCTGGTGTGGGACAGAGCTCATGGTGTGTTTACGTGGACTCTTGCTCCTTCCTCTTCCCCAGAGAGAACACTCACTTTCACATCTGTCTTCAGATGCAAGGCGTGGGAAGGGCATTCAGTCTCGTAAGACCTCAGTGTTTATTCCACATGAGCTTCCACAGCGGAACAAATAGGAAAGTGCTTACAAGAGGTGGTTATGGCCATGGTTGCTTCACCTGGACCTAACGGGCTGGGCCTCCATCCACCCCCTCCTATCCCCTTCCTTTCCTCCACCCTTCTTTAAGCCCCAGGAGCTACAAGGAGGACCGCCTGCCTTCCCAGACAGGCCACGGAGGTCGAGGGCTTTCTGAGAGCCCTCAGAGGCACAAGGCCTAGAGACTGCATTGCTGGGTCCACTAGGCCTACAGTTTGGGAGCAGGACTCCCTCCCCCCAGCCGCGGGGCAGGCCTGCGCCGGAGGACTAAGTGCAGCTGTGCGTTTCTCAGTGGCTGCATATAGGTCATGGCAGTTCATCTGGTGGGAGACGTCACTCCTGTTGCACTGGAGCCTGTGACATGACCTGCTGGGTGACAATGGAGCTGGGACTTTGGCTCAGGTTTCTCCCTCCTGGGCCAGCGTCTGTCCATTCTGAAACAACTTCACAGTACAGGGTCAGCGGTGTGGCCGTTCTGCTCCCGGGAGGGCCGCTGCCTCAGGGACACTCCATGGTTGTACTTCTGGCTCTGCCTGGGTGACTGTCCTCTGGGATGAAGACCCCCAAATCGTAAGGAGCCAGACGCTGTCATGTCCTGCCCAGAACACCCCCTGCTCCTCCCCAGGCCCTGTAAAACTTGCTTCCAGGCAGCTCCAAGTGGACTCGGCCAGCACTTTGCTTGCTGTGTGGCACCATAACCCACCCTGCAGTTATGAAGCATCACATGAGCAGATTCCTCCCCTCCGTCCTAACTGGGACCCAGCAGGGGAAGTGATGGTGTCAGAAATCAGTTCTGATTTAATGCGGATTGCGAGACCCTGAGTGTGGCCAGATGGTTGTAAAAACACATATATCCGCAGAACTGAGCAGGCACTGTGTGCTCAGCTTGTGCTGGGCTCTGGAGAGGCGAGGAGGACCCGGACGTGGTGGGAAACAGGGTCCTGGCCAACAAGTACTTGCCATCCAGGTGGGGATGCATGACAGGACACAGGACGAGGTAGATGGTGTCTTTACCACCTGTAGGTAGGACCGGCCACGAGGTGTTTGTAAATTATTTGAATTTAAAAATGCTTGATATGAATTTATGTTCATTATTAAACTCGTAAGCCTATGTGACAAAAAGATAAGTATATAAATATATAGATTTATAGATGGATAATATCTAGAGATATAGATTATGTAATTAAATGCTAAGCAAAAACTACTGAATACTTAGAGAAGGGCAGGGGTGGTCATGCTGGGGCTTCTCCGAGGACTAAAACCACTAAATTAAAATAGTAAAATAGAATTCTTTCAGTATATAAAACAGGCATGCCAGGGACTGAGCTGGTTGAAGGGGTGGGGAGGCCAGGCTTGCCCCCTGCATCCCCCAGCCCTCACGCCCAGCAGGTTCCCCAAAGCCCTACCCGGAAGCACCGTGTTCCGTTGAGGCTCCGGCCTGTTGCACGGGCTGGGAAGTGTCGCCCACCAGCTGCAGTGGCATGCCAGCGCTCAGCCAGCCTTCTCATGCTGTTGTGGGAAGAACCAGGCCATCCATCCTGGCACTCGGGATAGAGAGAGGCCTTATGCTGCGACAGAAGAGAGGGAAGGAGGGGAGGGGGCTCAGCAGTGCACCAGAGGCCTGCCAGCAGGTGTGTGAATGAACAAGTCCAACATAGTGAAGGGTATCCTGGAGGGGAATACAGCCCCCATGAGGACACACAGGAAGTCAGAGGGTGACATCTGGTTAGGAGTTGGACTGATGTTCGAGGAGAAGGGTGCGTCCCAGCAAGGGTGATGACATGCAGCAGGGCACAGATGAGTCCAAGAGTCTGTCCCCCAGTTCAGGTTGCCAATAATACCCATATGAGCAGCACTTGGGGCACCCAAGGGCGTGGGGAGGCGTGGCAGGAATAGAAGGTCGCTGCACAAAGCCATTTGAGTTGATGTCACAGACAGTCCGGGCAGAGTTCTTTGCTGAGGAAGATCCCTCTTGGCAGTGCTCTGCCGTGAGACAGGAAATCTCAGGAGGTAATCTAGAGCCTCCCAGGATCCAAGATCTGGGAGTGGAGGATCCTACCAGAGGGTGACTGCTGGAGTGCTTGCCCCAGCCCAGAAAGGATGTGGTTTGGTTGAGAAATTCCGCGCTGGGTCACTCACGCTAATGGAATGTCAGCAGCCGCGAGGATAACAGCCTGTGTTGGTAGAAGTCACCGTATGCCAGCTCCGCTTGCAGCCACTTCTGTTCTAGGCACATGGTGTGGTCGGGTCTGTCACTCATCCTGACGCTCAGGGACTGGGGGGTGGGGGGGAACCAGACAGGGGGTAGAGGTGGGGAAGGGGTCCAGCAGAGGGGAGCTGAAGAGGTGACATATGGGAGGAGATGGGGTGCCAGGGGAGTGCTTCAGGGAACTGTCCTGGGAACCAGCTGCCTGAGGGGAGGGGCAGCCTTGGGATGGACTCGAGCCTGGATGTTCCCCGTGCCTGTGGGAAGGGGTTTTCACTTCTCAGCAGCTGCTCCAGCCTCTGGTTACCCCCTTCCCTGCACTGACTTCTCTCCCTCAGCTCCCACCTATGCCCCCCAACCCTTCTTTTCATCAAACACCAGCCCCAGCAGGATCCCTTATCTCTTTCTTCCTTGCACTGAGTCTGATCTACTTGTCACTTGATAATCAGCACCTGATTATCTGGGTAGTTTGTCATTTGAGCACTTAATTGTTACCTCTAAGGTGGAAGTTGGGTCTTCTACTCCAGATTCCTAAAGCAGAGGTTCCTAATACTTGCAGAGTGATGGACCCTTCAGGAATCCAGGAAGGCAGAGTGAGACTGGCAGAGCCAGTTTCCCCCAGCAGCTGCCCACCAGGATGCAAAGACCACATTTCTGCCGAGGCCTATGCAGTCCACACTGTGGGGACCATGGTTTCTGCTCTAGGGACCTTGTAGGCCAGCCAGGCAATTATTCATTAGCAGATGTTCCAAGAAGGGCACGAGGCACCTGAGGGTCTGGGGAAGGCTACCCAGGGAAGATGGAATTTAATTAAGGTCAGACTTAAGAGGGGATGAATATGGAGAGGTGAGGCTGGATGGAGGAAAAGGGTACTGTCCTGTGAACCGGGGCAGAAAAGGCTCATGGCATTTTTGATGAAAAGTGAGGAAGAAAAAAGAATACTTGCCTAGAACCCAAACCTCCTCCCCTGAAAAGAGAATTGGGGCAGATTGTACCCTGACCCTCATTCTCCAGCAGCCAGTCACAGTCTAAGAAAAACAGGGTGTGAGAAGCAAGGAGCTGAGTGAGGCCCTCGAAGTCCTTCATGACAGCGGGAGGCCCAGTCTCCATACTAGGTGAGGGGCCAGGGCTCCAAGGGAGGGAGGTCAGAGGGGAACGCTGGCCTCCTCGAACGGTGCCTGCTGCCTCAGATCACAGGATGCACCCTGCCTCGCTGCAGGACTCCGCCTCTGTGAGGGCCCGTGTGCCAACCCCGGATGGGCCAGCAGAACCACTGGGCAGAGATCAAGTACAGGGCCTGACTGTCATGTGGGTTTGTCCAACGGCGATGCCAGGATTAAAAGGGCCTCACTGCTCACCACCCAGTGAGAACCGGAGTCACAGCCTTGTTTGGGCCTCAGTGGCTCAGCCAAGTTCACATGCTGCCGGGGCAGCTGGTGTGCATCAGTGCGGCTGGCAGTACCACCGTGTAAAGAATGCAGTACTTCAGTAGCTGCTAGTAAATTGCCACTGCCTTGAATTTCCTAAGTGTCCCCAGCTGCCGTGACCCTCCCTAGGACCCCAGTACTCCCCAAAAACTGAAGGGCCAACATCTGGGATGGCAGGACACCCGCCCTGGATCTGATGAGCAGTGTTCTGATGGTCTCTGCTGTGTCCAGGGCAGGGGGAGAAAGCAGTCGGCCCCCTCCTGTCGTCCTGCCTCGTGGTGGGACCAGCCCGTTTCCTCTCCTTCAGCCCCCATCAGGGCCACATCCCCACATCCCACACCATCCTGACCTCAGAGGACTCCAGTTTTCAGGTTGAAAGAGATTCTGAGGTTGCTCTCTCCCTTTACAAAGTGACTGTTCTAAATGGTGACCGGATAGGACCTGGTGGCACTTAAATCCTATTGCACATATAAGGGGAGCTGGCTATTTTAGGAAACCCAGGGAAGACTTCTTTGATAAAGTAACACGTGACTGATGACTGTCCTCGTGTATCCAGGGTCAGGAAACGGTTTGCAGTTCAATTTAGGAGATGTTAATTGAGCATCTATTGTGTGCCGGCAAGGTCGAAAGCAGAACTCTGCCCTTTAGGGGACCTTTCTTTGCCAGTTCCTGGCTTAGCTTCATTCCTTGACTAAGAGTTGCTTTCTGGGTCTGCTTTTCGTATACAAGGCCCACTGGGGGCCTGTGGGGCATGTGGGGCACATAAAGCCATGTGTTCGTTGGGGACGGAGCGTACTGTGGGCGTGGGTAGGAGGGGTGAACAAAGCAAGGGCAGTAGCCACACTTTGACCGTGCTTCGGCGGGTGAGACAGGGTCCACGAGAGGGGCCAAGTGGCCGAGGCGAACCTGCTGAATGGTGGGGCCGAATGCTAGCCTGGGAGGAAAGCCAGGGGCAGGGGGGCCCTCTGCAGGGGCACTCTGACCGCTACCATCCTTCCCTGCAGCCTCATGTTCAGCAAGGTAAAGCTGGAACAGGTCCTGAAAGGCCCGGAGGAAGCCCTGGTGACCTGCAGGCAGATGCTGCGACTGTGGCAGACCCTGTACAGCTTCTCCCAGCTGGGGTGAGTGCTTGTCATCGTCCCCAGGGGGTGGCCTGGCAGCACTGGTGGGTGGTGGTTGCCAAGACAGCAGCCCACCTCCGAGTGGCCAGTGGCCGTGAGGCCTGGGGGTGGTGACAGTATTTGAGTCCCACTGTGCTACTTACTGCTCCCGGGGCCTTTTACATAGGCAGGCTCATTTTCACCTTTGACCATCCTCTGTGAGGACACAAAGGACCTGCTTAGGAAGCAGAAGTTCAGAGGAGTACAAAAGGAAGTCATTATTGAGCATCTGGGCCAGGCATGGGGATTGCTGCTTATATCTCAAACACTGTCAGATTTTATTCTCAGTCCAGAAAGGAAACTAAGACTCTGAGACTTTACAGAATTTGCCAGAGTCGCTCACCTGGTAAATGCTAGTGCTGGGACTTGAACCTCTGTCCCCTGAGTCCCAGCCCTCCTGAGCCTGTTGCTTCTTCCTAGCTCCATTTGGAAGCTAGAAGAGGGGGAAAGAAGCTGAATTCTCTCACCCACCATCTCCACACAACCTGTCTCCTACCACGGTCCCCAGCCTGGGCTCCAGGTTTTGCCTAGGCCAGAGTAGGCCCTCTGGTCCAAGTTAGAGCTGCTGAAAGTCTTTGCTCAAATCCCGTTGACACTGTGTAGCCCAAAGCAGAAGAGTGCCTTGTGCCAGGCAGGTGCACCACGTCTTCCTGGTCCTCTGGTGCTCATTCCCTCCCCTTCCCTGAAATTATTGGCCTTAGGGGACCCCACCCTGGTAGATGTGTTCGCATTTTCATCAGGACTCTAGGAGCCCAGAAGGCTTTCAGGGTCTCCAGAGGCATGTCTCTCTAATGGCAGAATTTACAGAGAGGGCCCCAGGGTAAAATGGGGTTAAAACCCTTGGGCAAAGTAGAGGTTGCCTCTCTTTGAAGGCCTTTGAAAGACCTGGGAGGTTCCAGGGCAGAGCAGGACCCAGTGAGCAGAAACTGCCCGAAGGAGGCTCTGAGGTGAAGGACTTTTCAGAAAGGGAATGGGAAGCTGTCTGGCAGCTGGATGTATGTGGATGAGAACCAGGCAGACTGTGTGAGGGGGACCTGCACCGAGATGCCCCTTGCCACTCACTGGCTGCAGCCACTTGGGCCAGGTACACAGTCTGGCTCCCCTTCCAGAGAGGAGCTGTCCTTGGAGGTGGCAGGGACTTCCTCTTGCTGGATGGCTGGTTGCCTGCTCATTCAGATGGTCTTGCCAGGGCCCCCCTGGGCTGCAGCCCTGTGCCTCCCCTCCAGGCACCAGATCTATGGGGCTTCCCCATGTTTTCGAAGGGGCTGGAGCTGTAGGTTCACGCTGGGGTTGTTTTAAGTCACCACCCACACACTCATCTCTGATACGGGGGCCCAGTGGGGCTCCTCCTGGGTTCCGTAGGTACCTCTCTTGGGGAGCCTCCCATAGCTCCCCACCCAGGGTAGGGCTCAGCCAGGCCGGCTATCTGGAGTCAAATTGCTAGGACCAGAGGGCGGGATCCAATACCCACCTAGCTTTTCCCCAGAAGAGGGGGCATTCCTTCTGAACCTGGAGCCACAGAGCAGAAACTAGGACTTGTGAAATCTGGTTTGGGGCAGCTAAGGACAGGGGCCAGAATCCACAGCCTGAAGGTCGGGCCTACTGGCCCCACCCAGGCACCCCCCTTCCTCTGCTCCACCTGGGCCAGCCCACACCCACCCATGCAGATGCCATCCTTTATGGAGCCTAGTGTCACCCAGCCACTGGTGCTTCAGCTCAGCCCTCTTGAACTAGGTCTAAGCGCCCATCGTGGACTCTCCTCCCCACCTGGCCACCAGTTTCTTCAGGGCAGGAGCCGTGCTATGTGCTGGCCCAGACCCAAGTGGCAGAAGGTTCCTGAGATGGGCTGTTTCTGGAGCCCTAAGAATGTCCCCATCGGGCTGGGAGGGGAGGTAGGACAAGACGCTGCTTGTGCCTGCCCATGTTGCCTCCTGTACTCCTCACAGAAACCTCGTGAGATCGACCTCTCCTGCTTATCACTGCACACAATAAGCATGCTCATTTCAAGATGAGAAAACTAAGAATGACTAAGGAACTTTGCTGAGGGTCACACAGCTGAGGAGGGGTGGCCCATGCCTCTGGCTCTTCGGCGCACCACACTCAGGTGCCCCCCAGGAGTAGAAGAGGATGGGGAGGAAAAGCACCAACCTGGACCCACTGTTTTGTGGATGGCATCCTATAAATGTCTACATGATGGCCATGCACCCACATGCCCAAGCTCAGGCCAGTGTGAGCCTAAGTTCAAATGGAAAGGACTGGGCCCTGGCCTTCTTGGTAGGACCATTGTCTTGGCACCCTTGTGAAGGGAAGAAGCCTCTGGCCCCAGGCTGGGCTTGCCTTCTCTCCTGCCATTTCCACTTTGGCCTTCCTCTAAGCTTCCTCAAGTCAGCAGGTTCAAGGGCAACCCAGAAGTAGGCAGGGCTGTCTGGGGGTGTGTGTGCCCCAAGATGGGCATAACAGGCTGTGCTGCCTTTCTGGGCTGGTAGCTCCTCCACCTCGCACTCTGAGAAAAGAGGAACCTCCCCAGCAGTGTGGGAGTCACAGGGACCTGGGGAATCGGGGCAGGGGAGATGACCATATTTGTTTAACAGCCCCCCCCACCACCTTCTGGCTCTTCTGGGGCTTCCTTCCCTGGGGAGTGGGCTGGGAGCATTTCTGGTGGCCCGTGAAGACCAAGCTTTCCTTGGAAGCCAGACCTTGGTGCCTACTATGTGCCTGGCACTCTGCTAGACATAGTGAGGGCAGCAAAAGGTAGCAAAGACCTCATGTTGGCCTGGGGAAGCTTCTAGCATCATGCACGTCAGAGGAGGGAGAGTTTCTAACCCACATACTGCTGGATCCATGCTGATGGAGGGCAAGGGAGGAGGCAGCGATGAAGGGCACAGGGGCCATGGGAGGCTTTCTGGATGGATGAAGGGCACTCGGCTGAGTTCTAAAGGATAGAGGGTCTGGCTGGACCAAAAGAACAGCAGGAACGATATTGGTGGCAGCAGCAAGAGCAAATATTAGCTGTGGGAACAAAATGTGGTGGCAATAAGGAATAGCGGGGAGACCGATGACCCCTCAGGCACACGGTGGCAGCATGTATGTGTGCACGGCACATATGTGCTGGACATTAACAGCATGTCAGTGTAGCTGCTAGGGTAAGCCAGAATTCTAGAACCCCAAGCCTGAGGCCTGGTCTGTCCTGCCACTCTGGGGGTCTCCATCCCTCCTGGTGGTCCCAGCTTTGGCTCAGTTCCCAGGCCTAAACTCTCAGCCCCAGAGCCTGCCTGCCTGGCACAAGGCCCCCTTCTTCTCCCTGCCAGCCCTCTGCCTCACTGGGGCCTGGCCTCCCCTTGCCTTTCAGAGGCCTGGAAAAGGACGGGAGCCTCGGCGAGGGCGTCACACTGAAGAAGCAGAGCGGAATGCACCTGACTTTGCCCGATGCACATGATGCAGACTCCGGTAAGAACATGCCCACGGGCAGCCGTCCGTGTGGGCCTGGAGCTCACTCCCCCAGCCTGAGCACGAATGGGGAGGGTGGCACCTGCCCGCCTGGCCAAACCCACCCTGCTCCTTGCCAGCCAGCTGCAGCTCCCGAGCCTTGGTGCTGAGGAGCTAAGGAGCTGCCGTTGGGCATCTTTCTGGGCCCATCTGGCTCTGGGGTGGGAAGCGAGCAGCGGGAGCAGGCAAGGGAGGGACCCTGCCTCTTGGGCAGGGGTGTCGAGAGAGGAGCCAGGGTGGAGAGCCCGGCTGTGGAGGCCACAAACCGCCTCCCATTAGGCTAAGCCCGAGGCCAGGGTCTCCCACCAAAGCGTCCTTAGTAGATGGAGTCAAGTAGAAAGGAAGGAGCTGAGCTTCACCTTACAGCTCTAAGCCCAAAGCGGACTGTTTCAGATGAACACCTCATTAAAGCGGAATGGTGGCAAAGGCACAAGAACCAGTCACGGGAATGGAGCGTGAGGGAGTTGTATTTAGTGGTATGGCTCCTTCTGTCCGCTTCTGTGGACGTGAACCAGGTTCCACCTTGGTTGTCACTAAACTGAAACCATCTGTGGTTTGCCCGTAGGTCTCCTGAGTTTATTGGCACCTTTATTGCCCCTGGGGGGGGGGGTAGTGCTCGTGTTTCACCTGCCTGTGAGTTATAAATGTCAGTGGCTTACATTTCCTGAGCAAGGACCCATGTCAACCAGCACTGCCATGGACGGAGGGGTGGGGGTTCTCCAGAGGGCACAGGGTCTGGCCTGAGCCGTCACCCAAGCATCCGTCACAGCACAATCTCAAGTGGGACCTTTGTAAAGAGGAAATAATAATAGACACCTGTGAAAACAGAGCGCAGAATGGAGAAGAGAAAAATCCTCCAGTTTCACCATCCAGACCTTAATTGTGGCCTTTCAGGCCTTTTTTCCAGGCCTGTATTTCCTTCTTAGAAAAATGTGATCAAACACCTTTTCAGCTTGCTTCTGTTCACCTAACTGTATACCGTGAACATCCTTCTGCATCCATATCCGTGGTTCTGTGTCGTTAGTATGACAACTGCAGGGTCTTGTACGATGATAACTCACTTATTTTGGATCTTTTGAATCACTCCCTATTGTTGGACATTCGGGTCATTTCTGTTTTCAGGATTACAGGCACCTTTGCCAATGTTTAGGACTGTCCTCTTTAGTGATAGGTTCCTAGAAGTGGGCTGGCTGCCCGGTTGCCCCTCCCAAGCTCCTCATCCCAGCGTGGGTGAGGGTACGAGGAGGGCCCTTCCTAGGGCATCTGTGAGCTGTTTCACCGCTGGAGCTGTCCTGCTCAGCACCCTTCCCTCTTGCTCTGCAGGCTCTCGACGAGCATCATCCATTGCGGCCTCCCGGCTGGAGGAGGCCATGTCAGAGCTCACTGTGCCCAGCTCAGTACTGAAACAAGGCCCCATGCAGCTGTGGACCACACTGGAACAGATCTGGCTCCAGGCTGGTGAGTGTCCCTGGGCCCAGTGACACCCACCCATCTGCAGAGCCATATCCTGCCCTCGAGGAGGGGGTGTGGGGGTGTGAAGACCCCTGACAAGGGCTGTGTAGACTGCAGTACTCGTGGAAAGGCCTGGGGATCAGGAACCTGGAGCTCTAATTCCAGCTATTCTTTGCTTGGCCCAAGAAAAGTCGTTCAATCTGTTTGGCTATGGGTTTCCTTCTCCATCAAATGGGGACAGGGCCTGCCTGCCTACCTGGGGGAAGGCTCTGGCAGCAAAGACTAATGTAAGAAGCTTTGAGGAAAGACCACACAGATGCTTGGCCTTCTCAGTCCCAAAAGCAGGCCCCATCCCTCCTTCTTGCTCTGCTCCCCTTCTCCTAGTAAAACTAGCTCAAACCTCAGAGCTCAGAACATAGCTAGAGCAGAAGTGAAATCTGGTGGTGTAGTTCAGTGATGGCAGAGGGCTGGTAACACTGAGGTGGCCATTCAGGTGACGGTCCCTCTTGCTGGGCAGCTGGCCCTGTTGCCACCATGGAGTTTGGGAGTCAGTTACTGTTGAGGAGGCAGAGAGCTCCTGAGATGAGCGAGCGGACGGTGCAAGTCAGAGGCAGAATGTGGTTACCTGGGAATCCAAAGCTTCCCACTGTCTGGATTTCACAGAGGGCCCCATTAGCATGCAGTACTCCCTTCCCCTCTCTCCCATAGGTTCTGAATCTGGGGGGAAGAAATTGGACCAGGATCCTAGGCTAAACAGGGAAGCGTTTTAATAATGCAAACGTTGCTACAGTTAGCATTTCAGGGCCCCTCAGGATGCTGGGGATTTGAGGGCTGGGCTCCCCGGCCAGCTCGTTGCATCCTAAGTAGGAAGAAGAATATTAAACAAGCCTCCCCTGAGGCCAGGGGCCCCTGTCTTCTTCTTCTTTTTTTTTTTTTTTTAAGATTTTTTTTTTTTTTTTCATGAGAATACACAGAGAGAGAGAGAGAGAGAGGCAGAGACCCAGGCAGAGGGAGAAGGAGGCTCCATGCAGGGAGCCCGATATGGGACCCGATCCCAGGTCTCCAGGATCACACCCTGGGCTGAAGGCAGGCACTAAACCACTGAGCCACCCGGGCTGCACCCCCCACCCCCATCTCCTTCTAAGAACAGAGGGAGCATGGCTCCTGAAGGGTGCACTGGACCCCCCGCCCCTCCACCTGCCTGGGGGAGAAGGCCGCACCCACCCTGGGCCTCCACCAGCCTCAAGGAGTGTAGCAGTAATGCAGTGATCCATCAGATCCAGGGGTTGGGCGTTGCTCAACCAAGGCCTTTATTGTAATGACACGTTGTCTACTCCATCAGCAAATGAACACATGTTTGCATTTCACAAGCCTGCTTTCCGTTGCTCAGGTATGCTGCTTTACGCTCAGGGTGCTGGTATGTTCTGGTAACTTACTCCAGGAAAACTTAAATCATGGCCTTCCTGAAGCTTGTAATCAGGCTTGGGAATTATGAGTATAAATACATGCCTTTCAGTAATTTGCACATTGGCCTTTCTTCTCTGGACATTATCCTAGATACTCAGCCCCCAGAGAACTCTGAGAACAAATTGTGAATGCTTTGAATGGGGTGCCAGGTAAGGGTGGGGTGGGGTGGCTTTAGGAGACAGGTTTGGGTGTATGTGACCAATCCAAAGTGGCAGTGACTTCTGCAAGATAGACGCTTTGTTGTCCTTCTGTAACAGTTCAGAGATGGCGCCCTTGACCGGGATGACAGCTCTGCTCTCCTGGCCCAGGGACCCAGGTTCCTTCCATTCTGAGGGCCCTGCTCTCCATAGGGTTGTCACACTCACCCCTGTGATCCATGACAGCTCTTCATCACGTTCACCTTCCAGGGCATAACCAGGAAGAGTGGGAGAAGGGGGCAGCCCCTCCCTCTAGGGACATATTTTTGAAATTTGCATACATCAGTCCCCCTCATGATCCATTGGCCAGAACGTAGGCACATGGCCACACCTAGCTGCAAAGGACCCTGGGAAATGTCCCTGTCCTGGTTGTCCGTATGCCCCATTAAAAATCAGGGGCTCTGTCGTTATCACAGAAAAGGAGAAGAGAGTGGGCGACAGCTGCCACAGCCAGAAAGGGACGTAAGAGTGTCCCAGGTTTTCCCTTCTGAGCAGGGGAGGATTCTGGAGCAGTCTGCCCTCTGTAAGCCCTCGGCATCACCAGCAGGCATGTGCCGAGCACTTACCGAATAAAGGGCTGCTGGGACCAAATCACCGAGGCAAAAAACGTCTCCCTGACCTCACCCCTGACCTGACGGGGTCGGGCTGAGAGTATCGTCACCGGCATCCCCACCCTCACCCACCCCACCCCGCCTGACGATGCCAGCAGCTGCAGCAAATGTGCAGGGAGGGAAGAACGTCGTCTTTTATTATTTTGGAAGGAGCTCATCCCCCTGCGTTCGTTCAGGATAAACTGCATCCCAGGCTGTTGGGGCAGTAAGGCTCCATCAACACCCCCCTCTTTGGTTAGGGGATGGTATCCTTCCCCTCCCAACTCTTGTCCTCCTCCCTGCCCTCTTCAGGCCTCCGTCCCATTTCAGTCAGATGTGACAAGTATCGGAGGGGGAGGGTAGCTTCCACTTGAGAGATGAGTTACAGGAATGTGGCCTCTTGGGCAGCGGGTCCGTGTGACAGTGGGAGAGGCACGGGGCCTCACAGATGCTCCTGGATCCTGCATGCATGTCGGGAGGTGCCTTTCGGAAGAACAGGATGGCCCACCTCCCTCCCTCACTGCAGCTCCTGTCTCTGGGAGCTAATGTTGTGCTAGAGAGAGGGACATGGATGTAGGGGACAGTTCTCCTGCCGGGGACTCACAGGTGGCCATGGGCTTTCCCTCCGTCAGGGAAAGTTGGCCCGAGTCTCAGCTCCCAAACAGCAGATTCACAGTGTCTGGGTACTGGGCACGGAGCTCCAGCTGCTAGACGGATGGATGCATCAAGCAAGAGCCAGTGCCCCCACTGGTCCAGGCCGAATCTATGCCCAGAGCCCCTGGTGCAATGGGCAGAGCAGAACTTGCCCAAGGCTTCTCAGCAGGGGGACCGTCCTCAGGAGGCCCTGGGCACCTAGAGGTACAAGCTACCCCAGCTGTGAGCTGGGCAGACCGGAGCTGGGGCAAGGTGGCCAGGGCTCTGTCTGAAGATCATCTTCATTATAAAGTTACAGTCAAGGGAGGGGCGCCTGTGTGACTCAGTGAGTTAAAGCATCTGACTCTTGATCGGGTCCTGATCTCAGGGTCTTGAGATCGAGCCCCTATGGGCTCGGTGCTGGGCGTGGAGCCTGCTTAGGGTTCTCTGTCTCCCTCTGCTCCCCCCTCCCCAAAATGTCAGTCAAAGGGGAAGCTCTGCCCTACTGGTGGTCCCGCATGTTTCTCTTCTGCTTCGGCTCCCTCATTTCTCATCCCTTTCTTTCTTTATCTTCTCTCATGCTCCCCTCTTCCCAGCTCCCCACTGTTCTCCCTCCTGCCTTCTGTGCCTTCTTCCCACGTCCCCTCTTCCCTTGCTCTGGCTTTTTCTTCTTCCCTCCTGTGCCGACACCCCCTCCTCCCTGCTGAGCACTCAGGGACAGGAAGTGGGAGCTCAGGCCCTGTAGCCATGCCCTCCCTGACTCGTGCCAGGTCCCTGGGGTGGAGGGTCTCAGACCACCTGCACAACGCCATTAGACCTTTGGATTCCTTTCATTACTCTCTGGGTTCCTTGGCTGGCTCTCTCACCCCTCCCTTGTCTGCCTCCCTCCCTTCCCCTTTATCCTGGGTGTCCATAGGTCCTGAAGGCCTGCTCCATGGGGAGGACGCTGGTTTCCTTTAGGGCAGCTTTGGTGATCCCCTCTGGGGTTCAAGGCTAGCTAAGGGCCTAACCTTAGCTTCTTTCCTGAGCTGCTCCTCGAGGCATCTCTGCCTTTAGCCTGGGTGGCCCTCCTTTCCTTGGTCTCACAGTGAGTCTCTGGGAAGGACCTCTCATGTGGGGAGGCCCCTGAAAGGCCTTAGACTCAACCCTGCGCCACCCTCACCCTGTTCCTCAACTCAGGAGGAGCCCCGGGACCAGGCCCTCCCTGCAAAGAGGGTGTGCAAATAGCCCGCGAAGAGTGAGTTCATCCCCCAACCTGGGGGCGGCTGGGGCTTGGCTCCAGCAGAGAGACTGGAACCAGCTCTGGGTGCAGGGTTAGATCAGGATGCCTCAGAAAAAAATAATAAAAGGGACTGTTGCAAAGCTCCAGGGAACAGATGTTTTCCATTTGGAGCCTGCCGAGAGAAGCGCAGAGGGGGGCGGGTGGAGAGAGATGGACGGAAGAGGGAGAAAAGCTGAGATAGGGAGGCAGGAGGGGAGGTCAGGGGTAGGCAGAGAGGAAGATGAGACAAGTGGGGAAATGAGGAGAGAGAGGGAGAAACAGAGGTGAGGGGATGGTAGAGGGGCCCTCGACAATCGGGACAGCAAGTTGTTTGCTGGGGTGGTGGCCCGGAGTGAGAATCGAGGCAAAGACCAGTAACAGTGAGTGTTCCTCCAGGGAGGCCAGGGGAGGCCGGGGAGGCCGGGATGGGTGGGTACCTCAGGGCCCTGGCAGTCAAGGCCAGGAGGTCGAGAAATCAGGGCAGTGGACGGGCATGGTGCCACCGGCAGCTCCTGCAGCAGCCGAGGCTGGCCGGCTGGGGAGCACCATGTTTGGTAAAACAGTTGCCCAGGGACGCCGAGGCTGGGAAGAAGGGGTGTCCTGCAGCCCCCAGACCTGTGGGCCGGTCTGCGGGTCAAAGGCCCCACCCTGGAGGCCGAGCATGCCAGGGACTGTGTGCGAGGCGGCCAGGAGCCCTCAGGGGACCTCACTTCTCTGGCTCTGTTCTGTGTCATCTGGTTTCCTGCCTAACTGGTAATGAAGTCCATCGGACCAAAGCAGCCCTACCTATTTTTCAGGGCATGTTCTCTGGTGTGTGGCCAGCCCGACAGGGCCCAGGGCCCCAAGGCAAGAGAGAGGTGGGGATCCTTGTAATTGAAATCTGTTGATATGAAAGCACTGGGAGGAGTCCCCAAGGGAGAGACCAGAATCAGCCTCCAGAGACAGGGACTCAGAAGACAGGACCACAAGCTGTAAACAGCTTAATGAGCCACGGCAGGAGCAGGCAGGCCGGTGGGCCAGGCCTGGGGCAGGCCTGCTGGGCAGGGCCCGGGAGTGAAGGGCCTGTGCTCGAATGTAGTAGAGGAAGCAGCCCTGCCGGGCCCCCAGCACTCACACCACACACTTCCTTCTGCTTCTCCCCTCACCTCCGGTGACCCTGGGGAGTTGGATCTCAGTGGAGTCCAGCCTTCCAGGTCGCCACAGCGTCCCTTCTCTGTCAGTCCAGCCATCCCTGCACCTTCAGGCCCCGGCTCAAATGTTGCCTCCTCCAGGAAGTCTTCCCTGACCACACCAGCACAGCTGACCCGACCCCTTCTAAGTGCCCCGAGCTTTCAGAATTAGCACCTGTCCCTCCATTGCCTTGGCACTCTCCAGCAGTTTGGTTGCTCAGCTGTCCCAGATCCCCCTTCTTTCCCCCACCTCCGCTCTTTCTCCTCCTGGGAGGGCCAGGCACATGGTCAGTACTCAGTCGTTGCACACCGGATGCTCAGTTATGAAGGCAGCCTGCTCAGAGCCCCTGGCAGCAGTTCCAGAAGGGAACACAACAGCAGAGCAGAGAAGAGCCTAGGCCAAGCTAGACAAACCCCTGAGCTCGGGCCAGCCCTCCCTGCAAGACCCTGGCTCCAAGCCCGCCCTTCCTGGCCTCACCTTCCCGAGCTTTCTGCCTTGGGACTGTGCCGTTCAGGCTGTCTATGGGACAAGTGCCTGCACTTCTCTGTAGCCTATCATGGGGGCCTGGCTCCTCTGTTTACTTAATTCTTTCAAATTCTGGTCTCCTCCAGAGAAAAAGAGTTCCCTTGCTCTAAAAGGCCTCGGTAGTATTAAAAGGATGTGGCAAGCTACTTGATTACACAATGAACCTTAGGCAACATTCATGCTGACTACCCCAGGCGCCGAGTGCTGCAGGCAAGGCCTTGGGCTTCCTTCCTGCTGCCTGTTGGAACAGGAAGACGAAGACGTGATGCCTGGGTCCGGGTTTTCCATCTCTTTCTGGGAGCTTCTTTTGGGATGTCTGTCATCCACCCCGCCCTAGACCTAACCTGAATTAGTGTAACCTCAGCCCTTGGCCTGTGCTAGGAACAGCTCTTGGCAGAGTCACAAGCCAGGCTCTGCGTGCCCTTCTGTGCTCCCATCTGTGTGCGGGCACCAGGGAGGGGCAGCCGAGCCCGGGGCTGCCAGGAGCGGGAGGCTGAGGGGGCCATGGGGCTGAGCCTTGAGCCCAGCCAACCTACTTCTAAAAGTACTTGCTGGGGGTGTGTACCCGTGCGTCGTGGATCTGAAATGTGCCTTTTTTTTTTTTAAGATTTTATTTATTTATTCATGAGAGAGAGAGAGAGAGGCAGAGACCTAGGCAGAGGGAGAAGCAGGCTCCATGCAGGGAGCCTGATGTGGGACTTGATCCCAGGTCTCCAGGATCAGGCCCTGGGCTGAGGGCAGGGGCCTAACCACTGAGCCCCCGGGCTGCCCTGAAATGTGCCTTTATGTGGACTGGCCTGGGATCGGAGATGGCCCCGTTTTCCACTGATCTGGGGGAGAAGGCAAACTGGTTGTGGGACAGATCTTTCCAGCTTGTTGGTGAAAGGCGTGGGCTTCCCCTGTTCTCTCAGTGCAGCAAATGCCCTGGGCTTCAGAGGGAGACCAGAGCTGCTAGGAGCCCAGCGCTGCCTTGCCCCTTGCCACGGAGGGACTGGTCTGTTAGCAGCAGTGCGCATGAGAGCACCTGCTGGGAGGAGTAAGTAAGAGAAGACACTTGGCAGAAGCAGGCCTTGGCCCACGGTCAGTCCCCAGGAGTGTGCGCCGTGCGGGAGCGCACACCTGCCTCACCCTGATCAGCCTCCACCCGCGCCCCCAGACTCGTGGTCTTCTGGTGGAGAGACACTGCACAAAGCCACCTGACCTTTCCGGACACCGCCCGTGCCCCCACTGCCAGGCTTGGAAGTCAGACAGCCAGATGCGCACCCCCACTCCACAACTGACTTCTCCCCATGGCCTTAGGCAACTTCCCTACCCTCTCTGTGCCCAGTGTCGTCCTTCCTGAAGGGGGGTAATAAAAGTGCTTGTTCTATAGGCTTTAGTGAGTGTCGGCAGAGGCGGTCTGTGTGGGGCGGGTAGCACGGTGCCTGACCCGGGTGAGTGCTCAGAAACCATTCCCTGCTGTTGCCCCCATGGCCCAGGGCCAGCCCGGCCCATCACCTGAGACCCTCGAACTCTGGGGGCTGATGGTCAGATACGGGGACGGGACCTCTGCCTTTGACTTTTCCTGCCATTGTCACCTCCTGCTGTCCTTCTGGTTTCGCAGCTGAGCTGTTCATGGAGCAGCAACACCTCAAGGAAGCAGGTTTCTGCATCCAGGAGGCGGCAGGCCTCTTTCCCACCTCGCACTCGGTACTCTACATGCGGGGCCGGCTGGCCGAGATGAAGGGCAGTCTGGAGGAGGCCAAGCAGCTGTACAAGGAGGCGCTCACAGTGAACCCTGACAGTGTACGCATCATGCACAGCCTGGTGAGTCAGTCCCCCACCCTTGAAAAAGGCCTCAGGGCCCTCCTCCCCTCTCCCCCTCCACTGTCTGCGTCCCCTGGTGTTTGGGGGGGAGGTGGTTTCCTCCCTGCTCTGTTGGGAGACACAACTGGCTCTTGGAGGCAGGCCACTCCCCTTCAATCAGAGCCTGCCTGAGTTGATGAAAAAATCTAGGATGAGTTGATAATTCTTTGTGACTTCCTTTTTGCTCTAAGCTTCTATAAAGCAGTATAACCCCAAAGGGATTCCTCATCAGATCCTCGCCCTGGACACTCTAGGCAAAATGCTCTGCTTTCTGGGAGTCCCCAGGCCCTCCGTGATCACTGGGCTACCTCGCCCACTTCGGAGGAGCTCCATGCCTCTTTGGTGGCATTCTGGGGATGTCTGGAGCTGGGCTGTCATGTCAGGCCTGACTCGAGCACACATGGAAAATGGCCCCTGGGGGCGGTGGGGGGTAAGAGGGCCCGGCAGCCCCCAGTCCAGGAACATGGCACTCAGGACTTAGGTGCCCAGGGCTCGGCAGCTTTCTATGGGAAGGTCTGGAGGCTGGGAGCAGGATGCTGGTATTCTTGGCTTGGCCTTGCCATTCTCTTTCTGGGCGATCGTGCGCAAGTCGGTGCTTTTCTCTGAACCTCGGTTTTACTTATCTGTGCAATGGGGATCCTCTGGTGCAGGAAACATTTATTGAGTACCTGCTCTGACAGCTGGCATAGTAGACCTGTAGGGATAACCATTTTTTCCCTTCCTTCCTTAGCTACTTTTACTTTTTTATTTTTTTCCCTAGCTACTTTCAGAGAGCAAGTCATCAGGAGAAATGTAATGATCTGAAAGTGTACAGGCCTGCATAGGCACAGTGGGTTTTGAAGTATAATTTAGCACACCAACAGCAACACGGTCTTCCCCTGTCAGGGTGCAGGTTCCACCTCAGACTTCCCCCTTTGAGAGTTCTTTGAGGGGAGTGGCCATGAGGGCGTCACTGACATCTGCCACATGTAGAACCCAGAGGGATCAGAATGACTCCAGATGGCTGGGGGGTTATCATTGCCAAAAGGGGTCTGATTCCTTCATAAGGAGAAGCCACCGGGAGTTCGATTTCTGCTCAGTGTCAGGAAAAACTGTATAGCTCTCAGAATAGTACAAACCCAGGAGTCGTCTGGTGAGGACGCTGCCAAGAGAATGGAAACACTACTTGGGGGAGGAGCTGGACCAGGTCATCTTTATAAGGTCCTCCCGAGAGCCCCCCAAAACAAATGAGAGCCTCCCAGCTATTATTCCTGCTGCCCGATCCCTAAAAGGATTTCTCCCTTGGGACCATGTGAATATTCTGCGCCAGCTGAAGACAGCCCACGCGGTGACGTCACACCCTGGCCCACGTTCCCCTCCACATGGCTCTGTGTTGCCTTGCAGTCTGCTCAGCAAATGTTTGTTTTTTGCAAGGCACATCCTCCTTCCTCCCGCAATTCAGACATTAGCTCCTGTGATAAATGCCTCCCTGGAGGTCACATCCAGAAACTTGATTAGGGTGGCTGGGAGGGAGGAAGTGGGCTGTGTCGTTAGGCCTGCAGCCAGGCAGAGATGTCTGCCTTCTGCGCTCGGGGCTCGGGGTCTGCTGTCTCAGTCCCTAAAACCCGATGAAGTCCAATAACAGGTACAACTTTGAAGTCACAGTGTACCATTTTTCATTTACGCTCGTTATTGTTTGTAGCTCTTTTCCCGAAATTGAAGCCAGTTCCAAGGGTGGGTTTCCATGGTAACCGAAGAGCGGCCCAGAGTGGCTCCCTACAGATGTTTCTGAAATGGTCCCTTTTCTCTTCCCTGGGGTGCCCTGCCGATGTGATGGAATGAGAGCGAGTCAGAGCCAGGCCTGCCCACTGTTAAAGTTACAGGCCAGCAGAGGGGCAGTCTGCTCTGGCGTGGGCAGCCGGTTCGCTTTCCACATGCTCTGTTCCTGCCAGCATCCCACACATATGCATGAGGAATAGCAAATTTCAAGTCTGGAGAAGATTTACGAAGCACTCTTCTCCCAAAGACACAGGAACACTTTGGCATGTTGTTCTCCAGTATTCCCTAATGTAAGTGCCTTCCCTGGGCTGGCTTTAGGCTCAGGACATCTGGGATCTCATCCTGGCTCTGGCTCTAATTCACTCAGGTGATTTAGGAAAAGGCACGCATAACTTCCACGTTCCTGACATCTCCTTCGGTAGATGAATAATAATCTTCATCATTCCTAGACCAGTTCTAATCAAATGAGGTGATGCACGTGAAGGTGCTTCTAGAGGTCTGCAGTGCAACATGAGAGAAGGCAAAACAGCATATACGCCCTACTCTCCAGGCCCTCACCCATGACAGACATTGCTAATCAATCGGAGCACTTCTCACTGAGTGCCTCTGTGACCTTGGGCTCTTTTCCACGATGGCACAACATGAGGGGAGCCACGACCTGGCATTTATGTAAGGGATTCATTGTAAAAATGGTAAAGAATGAGATACATTAGTTGTCTCAGCCTTTGTCAACTCTGGAAGTTGGTGCATCCTTGGAGAGTTATCCAGAGAAAGGAACGTGGCGTATCCGTCCCCACCCCTGCCATGTGGTCATTGCCAAGGCAGGTTCCCAAGAAGGACATCCTGGCCATGCCACACCACTGCAGTTCTGTGAAGACATTGGCCTCTGATAGGTGCCAGGAGAGAAGAGGTACCCCTCCCCTGAGAGCACGGCCACCCAGCCTGTGCTAGGAGAGCTATGGATCCCTCAGGGAGCTGTGTGGGTGCCAAGATCAGCCTTACAATCCTTAGGGCAGGATCATCAAACACCAGAAGGCCAGGAACTGTGTGCATGGGATGGGAGATTTAGGGGGAGGCCAGAGAAAGCCGCTGGGAGTGAAAAGCTACTGCTTTTAGGAGGCTGTGTTCAGGCATTTCTAAGAAAATGAACTCTGGCCCAGAAGCAGGTTCTCTCCTCTCCCCGTCTCACCGTCCTCCCTGCCCTGGCTGTGAGGGGAGCCGTTTCCATGCTTCAGACTCCATTCTGGGCTCAGCTCAGGCTTTTCCACCCAGCAGGCAGGCAGGAGACACCAGCTTAGCCGTGCTCTGCCAGGGAAGAGTCTCTCCACTGTGCCACCGCAGTGCCCCCAGAGGAGTCCGTGCCATCAAGCCCTGGCCGGGCGGCTGCCCCCTCTGCTAGGCTCAGGGACGGCCAGCTTGCTTCAGGAGACGGCCAGGTGCAGAAAGAAAAGGCCATGCTCTCTGCAGTTGGAAATTCCCAGTGAAATCTCAGGAGCAGGTCCTGACCGTCTTTGCCAGCTCGGTCTTGGCCTCCCTTCCAGTGGCCAGAAACCCTGTGCACTCAGCCTGGGTGCTCAGCACTTAATCTATGCGCTAAAGAATCTCGTTAAGAGGGGGACCCTGAACTCTACTTGCCTCCCCTGAGGAAACAAGAGAAAGGAAGCAGGGCCCTTCCCGAGATCAGCAGAGGAATCAGCCCCCAGGTGACACTTTGTCAGAGAGGGCTCCATGGGCTTGGTGGAGAGGAGTCAGAGGCAGCCTGCACCCCCATCTCTCTCTGAGCCTGTCTCTGCCCCGCCACCCTCCAGGAGGCTCTCTGCATCTCCGAGGGAACAGGGGTGCCTGGGGAAGGCAGGAACCCAGGAAGGCTGTGAGGTCACCTGACTTTAATGGTAGGAGGGCCCCTAGCCCTAGCCATGGACAGACTCGTTCCTTCCGCCCATCCTTTGGCTGAGCCATGAGTGGACAGGCACGCTGCCTCCCTGCCACCTGCGTTTGTGGGCAGTACCCCACCCTGCTCTCCCAAGACGGACTCTTGGGTTTCCTGGCACCCCTCTGGCCAGGCTTTCCTGGTCCTCACTGGCCCCTGCCTGTGGTCATGCTTCCTTCTTGGGACAGAGTTCCAGGCTTCTATTGCCCTGTCCCCCCAGAACCCTCTCCATGGCACCCCAGCAGAAGAGGGAAACTGCCCTAAATGAACTTTGACTCCTGTGATGTAATTTCTGGGGTTGTAATGTCTGAGGCAGTCCTGGCCTTGTGACCTCGCCTCTTCTTTCTCCAGATGCTCCGGGAAGGACAGGAAGACAGTGTGTTTCTGTCATCCATAGTCCTGGTGACAGAATGGCAATGAATGAGTTCCCTGCATTCATTCCCTTTCACTCCCTGCGTGGAGTTTGCTGTCTCGTCCCTCAAGTAGGTTTGGGGTTTCGGGGGCACAGCCATAGCATGTGGCCAGCCCAAATTGTCCCCAGAACCTCTGGTCCCTCTTTCCCCAGGCTGGGGCTTGCCACGGCATCCCCCACGTCCCACCAGCTCCCCATCACCATCCCTGCCTCTCCCCAAGGTGGGGCCCGAGTCAGCCAGGACCAAGGCTCTGAGGTTGGGCCTTTTGCAGGTGCTCCAGGAATCTAACCGCAGGCTCTGCTCTCTAAGGCCAAACAAGTCAACTCTGGTGGCAGGGAGCTCCCGCAGTCCCCCTCCCCTGACAGGCCCCATCCCCCCACCCTGGAGGGCAGGACTGGGACTGCCAGCCCTGCCAGCCTGAGTGTTCCCAGGGTTCTTAGAGATTACTTCCCTTCACTGGCTCAGTTTTCACTTCTGTCTAATGGGCATAATAATTTCGGCCCTTGTGACCTCAAGGGGAGGATTTTAGTGCTCAGATGATCTCAGCGCTCTGAAAAGATAAATCAACACCCGGCATTTTTGTCAGCATTCATGTGGAAGACGTGGTGGCACGTGGCCTAAACCTGAGCCCCACCTTTGGCCAGGCTGCTCATGCTGTGGGGCAGGGGTCACTGGCCCAAATTTCCCTAGGCTGCCTGGTGGTCCAGGGTGCCAGCAGGGTACTAAGGAGGGAGGGAGGGAAAGAGTGCTGGGCAGGGACCAGGGGCCGCAGGGCTGCCTATAGGTTGCCTCTGGGGCTGGTTGGCTGGGATGGTTTTTGAGCCCCAGTATCAGAGCCAGCTTGTGTCTGGAGGTTGTGT